TCTTTTGCCCCTCCCTTTTAGTTATCCATCCATCCATCCATCAATCATCCATCCATCTATCATCCATCCATCATCCATCCATCCCTCCATCCATCCATCCGTCATCCATCATCCATCCATCCATCATCCATCCATCCCTCCATCCATCCATCCGTCATCCATCCATCCATCATCCATCCATCCATCCATCAATCATCCATCCATCTATCATCCATCCATCATCCATCCCTCCATCCATCCATCCATCATCCATCCATCCATCATCCATCCATCCATCCGTCATCCATCCATCCATCATCAACCAGCCTTCTTTCCTTCTGTCTGTCTACAGACATATGCCAGTCTGTCTGTCCGTTCTGTCCTGTTTGTGTGATCCTGCTCTACCACTACCATATAAGGCAAACAGGAAGCTGTCAGGTCTGTGGTTGACCCCTCCCCCTATTGAACATTTATGGTTATTCTTTCAGAATCTCTATCAGTGACCAGTGAGGAGTTCACCAATGGTACGTCAGCTGTCTGTTTGATGTCACCGTCTGTTCGTCTCATTCTCCAATCAGATTTAATCTCTGTGACCCCGCCCACTCCCCCTGCATCACCATTGGTCATGTGACTGATCTGTCCTTGGTGCTGAAGCTGTTTGTCTGCGTTTATTTGTTTCTTGTTTGTCGTCAGTCACAGATCTTCTCCATCCCAACCCACCAGATCAGCCTCTGACTCCGTCCCATGACTCCGCCCTCTGGCTCCACCTTATGACTCCGCCCTCTGGCTCCACCTTCTGACTTAACCCTCTGGCTCCACCTTCTGACTCCGCCCTCTGGCTCCACCTTCTGACTTAACCCTCTGGTTCACCTTCTGACCCCACCTAATCACATACACTTAAGCACAGTTTTATTCCCCACCAGTTCACGTCTCAGGGTAATAAACCCCTAGCAGAGGTACCCACCCATGTTCTGTTGCTCCAGTTGGTTCCAGGCAGTGACAGAGCTCCACTGATGTTTCCAGTCTGGTTCTGTTTGGCATCAGCTGGGTTTGGTTCTGGGTTCTTCAGCCTTCACAGTGGGCTCTGTTGGGTTTGATCCAGTTGGTTTTAAACCTGGATTCCATCTGTAACTGGTCCTCATCCACTGTATGAAACCATCTGGTCCTGCTCCAGTTCATATTGGTTCCTGTTAGGGTTGAACTGGTTCTGATTGTCCCAGTCCTCCCAAACCACTCTAGTTATTGGTCTTCACTCTGTTCTTTCCTGTCCGATTTGTTGTCTCCCAGTCGTCCCAGTAAAGGTAGCCCCGCCCACGGAGAGAGCCCCCAGTCGTCTATGGAGGGTTGAGCTGAGGACCCTCTGAGTGTTTGTGTCCGTTTGTGATTATTGGTGTTCATGTTGATGACCATAAGAAGCTTGTTGTGATGAATCCAACCGTCTGCTGTCTGAGGAGAGGCGGCCTAGCTCCCTTTCTGTCTCGCTGTGGACATGGACAACTCCAGGGACGTCCTAAAAACCAAGACCTGTCGATCTGCCCTGGATCTTCCGGTCCATCTGGGATCAATTATGGACTTTTGTCTTCAGTTTCCTGGTTGGTCTCCAGGCTGGAGCTGAGATGTTCTGAGAAGTTTCTTTACAGTGTAAAGTTTTATTTATTGTCCATTTCTTGGTTATTCATGATCTGCTGCTTTTTTTTGATCATTTGTTCTGTTGGACCTGGTTTGAGCTGTTGGACTAATTTCTGATTTGAGTTCTTACTGATCAAATGTGGTTTGATCCAGCTGGTCTCCACCGATCCAGTCCTGTGTATGAATGGTTCTACCTCATCCAGACTCATCCCTACAGATACCAGTGGGTCAGATCTGGTTCCAACTGGCTTCACTAGATCAGATCTAGTTCCAATCGGATTCAGTGGTCAGATCTAGTTCAAACTGGTTTAAGTGGGTCATATCTGGTTCCAACCAGCTTCAGTGGCTCAGATATGGTCCCTGCTGGCTAGAACCAAATGGTTCTAATTGGGTAGACCTATTCCAGTAGACCCCACTGAGACAAGCTGTTTACTGTGGGTCTGAAATGGTTCCAGTCTTATCTCCATATGAGGCCACTTTCTGAACCAGTTTAGATCCCAGTTTCCCAAACACCTGTGCATTGTCTTCTGGAAGAATCTTATAAAAATTCCTTTGATTTTATTTCAAGGAAACTTTTCAAAGTGTCATTTTCTGGGGTTCTCCATGCAGAGATTTAAAAGCCAAGTTCGGACCTCCAGCTGTGCCAGCAACAGCTGAAGAACCTGTTTAGATCCTGGTCTCTCATTCAATATTGTGGTGTTATTGTTGTATTAAAGTTTATATCAACTGCAATCAAACTAGACTGAGATATGTGTACCAGAACAATCCTTCAAAGATCCTCAGGGTGGACTTCATTTCAGAAACAGCCTGTCCCACCTATCACCTGGGATCATCAGCCAATCAGAGCAGAAGCAGAGGAACCAATAGAAAGCCTAGAGTTTAAAACATTTCTGTCCTGTTGGTTCTGATATGCCGAATATTTGATGATCTGATGCTTCTGAAGTCCTGAATGGTTTCTGATGAGCCAAGCAGCAAGGATCTGATGGATCTTCTCATCTATGTTTTCTCTTGGTGTTGTGATGATGGTGGCGTGTTAGAGGAGCTCCATGTTAGCGTGTGCTAGCCGTGTTGTGTTCTCAGTGTTAGCATGTTGATAACCTGCTGCAGGTTCCTGTTAAACTCTGATGATGTAAAATACTCTGACTCTGTAACTCTGTGCATCATGTGACCAAAACATGTTAAACTCAATAAAGTTCTGTCGATCAAAACCAGCGGCCTCATGTCGTTTTTTCCTCTGAGCCGAACAAGTTTCACTAGAAATAATTAGTTTCAGTTCAATAAAAACTAAAAACATGGAGGTTAGAACATGGAAACGGACCTGTTGAACCTGGAAACAGACCTGTAAAAAATGGAGAATAGAACCTGCACACAGACCTGTGGAACATGGAGGTTGGAACCTGGACACGGACCTGAAGAACATGGAGGATAGAACCTGGAAACAGACCTGTAGAACATGGAGGTTAGACCCTGGACATGGACCTGTTGAACCTGGACACAGACCTGTAAAACATGGAAGATATAAACTGGACACAGATCTGTAGAACAAGGAGGTCAGAACCTGGACACGGACCTGAAGAAAATGGAGGATAGAACCTGGACACAGACCTGTTGAACCTGGACAAAGACCTGTAGATTTTTGGGGTTACAACCTGGACAAGGACCTATTGAACATAAAGGATATAACCTGGACACAGACCTGTAGAACAGCATGTTAGAACCTGGAAGAGGACATGTAGAACATGGACGTTGGAACCTGGAAAAAGACCTGGAATCTGTAACCTGGACACTGCCCTGTAGAATATGGAGGTTAGGACCTGGACACAGACTTGTAGAACAGCAGATTAGAACCTGGAAAAGGACCTGTAGAACATGGAGATTTGAACCTGGACA